CTATATATATATATATATATATATGTATATATATATATATATATAAAGCTATATGTATATATATGCTTTTATACACAATACATTTTTTTCCTATGTGCAATCCTGCATATTTATAACAGGAAGAATGTGCGATTGCAATATTCATCACTTATAAAAAATACAATTTCCTATTATCATCTAAAATACCTAGTATATACAACAGAGTATTAAACGCAAGTCTTAAATAAATCCCTATTAAAAAATTTAAAAAAGAATGCTTTTCAAGAAATCATACGCCGCGTTTATCACACCCCAACTAATAAAGGATCTCATATAATTCAAGTGCACACCCTTGTAAAAAGAAGTTATACTTTGATTTCTGGAGATGTATACTTCGCGAGTCACAGCCAGAAATTTCTCAAAATTGCCGCCTATCTTTGTCTGCATGTGTATCTTGATCACGTTCATTGGATAAAATATTGTGCTGGTAAAGCCACCGATCAAGGCACCGCAAACGAAATTCGTCAGCAGCGATTCATGCTCACCCATCAATATCTTTGATTGATCGCGTAATGTAAAGAACATCAGATTGGACAAGCCATTTCTGTATATAATAGGAACCATGCCACGATAACACTCAGTTATTCCGTGATTCGCCAACAGATATCTGAATGCATGGGACGTGTTCTTGAACTTCCCATGATATCGCCAATCTTGCAACAATGTTTGCACTCTTTCAAGGGGCATCAGAAGAGCTTCCGACGTACCAGCTATATTCGCTGCCAGTACCTTACCCAGTACATCGCTTCCAGTTAACAGATAGATCCTTTGCTTGCTTCCTTCATATACACTGAACATTAGGCTCAAAGACAAAGTCTTCTGGCACAGAGGTGGCAAAATTCCACGATACAGCAATCGTATTCCCTCTCGTGATATCTGTCCAACTGCAGCACCCACTGGTATTCCTTCCAAAATCTGTGACAAAAATCATTTTCACACCGACATTTAAATATTGTCATACTGTAAAAATATTTATTAATGTTACTTATGTTGCATATATACCTGTCTGAATATGACTTTATTAATCGGAAAAGTAACAGTGACATTGATGACAGCAGCCCCCCAACCGCAAATAAATTCCTTGAAGTCATTGCTGTTGAGTTTCAGAACTGATTGTAATGGAAACTTCTGTGATGTAATGTTACTCATATTAGTATAATTTTTAGCAGTACTAGATCCAGTATCCAAGCAGAAAAGTGTTCAATTGTTCTAATTTTAAATATATTTTAATCTTCAAAAACATATGTGGCTGTTGCATAGTGAATTATGTATCTTCTATCTGAAAGATAAAAAATAAAGATAAGTTGATCTAATTTTCATATTTGTAATTATGCATTATCATGCAAGATGGAATACATTATAATAAATCCATTTAATTTTGCTCTTATCGTTTTATAAATCCATTTATTCATACCATCTTACACCTCATATATTAACATTATCTCACGCAAATGATATCACATGACAATTTTACTCAAATAAATTTATGATCAATCGATATGCGATTCGCATGTAGAGGCTCAAAAATAAGTGTTTAACGTCCAAAATAAAAAAAAGCCGCGAAAATTGCAATTACATTACATAACCTAATCTAATCATATCACGTGTGGAAATTTCTGTGCCTTTTCTCGACTTACGTATTTATGCTCGTTTTTCTTTATTCAACCCATAGCTGTGGGGTACCTGCGTCAACCGGAACTTCAGGTATCGTCGTAACGATACCGAAGATTATCCTCGGCACTCGTTACTTTACACGATTATTGTTACTTGCAATGTCAATCGTCGCCATATTATTTACAGCTGATTGATGATTGATCATGATTGATGTTCACCATGTATACCTATTCTTTTATTGAATTTTATTGTACTTTCTATACGTAGAATCCATAGAAAAAAATATATATATAAATTTAAAAAAAATATTTTCATAAACTTAAAAACTTAAAATAAAAAACATATAATTAAAAAATACGCTTTTTATTTTTTATATCTTTTTATTTTTGTTTGCATTATATTTTATTGCACGCTAATTTTGATTTAATGTAATCTTATAAAAGATTCATACTGTTGTATCCAATTAAAATTTTTCATTTTATCAACAAATATGACATTAATAAAATCTCTAAAGAATACATTTTTCTATTGGATCAGAATATTGAACTCTATAACATGCTGAACATCGATTATGTAATTTTTCCCTAGAAACGGAAACATGAAAAATGAAAACTTTTATGTGAATTTGACAATTTTATTCGGCGAATTCAAAAAATGAAATAAAATTTCGTGAAATTTTCACTTTTCACTTTTCAGTGTGCGGTCGGTTACTCGTTGCTCGTGTCTTGAATCTGGCAACTCTGACTTGAAATCGTTGATATGCGTTGGTCAACATGTGCGTTCGACGATGTGTCGCTCTTTCGCGCCAGTTTCAACCAATTTCATATTTTACTGATATTAGTTTTTATTTTTAATAATATTAGTATAAAAAATATACGATTTAATTAAAAATGAAGTTCAAATGCAGAATGATGGACGCAGGTGTCATGCGGGATTTTACAAGTAAAATTAGAATTTTATGTTCTAACCTTTTTAGATATTTTGGAAATGTTGATCTTGATATTTTGTTTATTATCTATTTAGCTTCATTAAATATAATCTGTTATTTTAGATATTGTTAACACTATATCACAAATGGCGAAATATTGTGTTCTGCGATTGACACCAGATGAATTATGTTTCAATGTCGGTGACGAACGAACACCTGTGCTATGGGCTGTATTTTCTCAACAATATTTCTTCACAGAGTATGTTATGAGTGGAGTGTCGGAGGAAGAAAATGTAATTTACCTGGAATTTGAGGCTTCAATGTTTGCTAGAAGTTTAAACAGCCTAAAAGCGACAGCAAAAAGTGTTAAAATTAAGTTAACAAATAAGCGGCAACCTTGCCTGACATTTGATATTGATTTATCTTCCCTGTCTATTGACTCTCGACAATGTACACACGACGTGCCTGTGAAACTCATATCGCGCAAGGAATGGCCAGAACACAAAATGCCAGATATTTTAGAGTTTGATGTATATATATGATAATAATATACTTCATAAATATGTGTACCCAATGTAGTAATTATCTAATAAGACTAAAATTTTATTTTAGATATCAATAGAAATACCACAGCTAAAGCGTCTACGACATATTGTAGATAGAATGAAAAATATGAGTTCACAATTGATTATAAGTGCCAATAAACGTGGTGAATTGACATTAAAGATTGAAGTGGATTTTGCTACTGTAACTACTTACTTTAAAAACTTACAAGTGTTGGAAAACAGACTAGAAGAGGCTAGTGATATCTGTGCGATTGTAAGTGTAAAGAAATTGGCAATGTTTTTGAATTGGGACATTCTCCATCCAGACAGTGTTAAATGTAATATACTGCAAGAGAAGATGGTAAAATTAACTTTGGATGCAGGAGATTATATTAAGATACATTACTTTATACCAGCCATTATTTCTTAAGCAATGAGAAAAATGTGTCAATCATGTATAATATTATTTAATTACAAAATATATGTACATATTTTTCACCTTTTCATTCGTACATTTATCAATTCACACTTTCTACTTTTTGTTAAATATTTAATTTTATTATACATTCACAAAAAATAATTCCTACAGTTTACATATAAAATAATTATAAGCTAAATGTAAATTCTGTTCACTCTCTTGCTCAAATGCTCTATTATTTCCTTCAAATCCTCCTACATACATTTTAATTGCATATCGAGATTCTCTGACAAACAACACGCGTATTCTCGATCAGAATCCGAGACAGAAAGAGACGCTAAATTCTTTTTCTAATGTACTAGACATTCTTGTATATCTTTTTGCTGCGCAATCTGAACAGTATATTTCATATAATTAAAATGGGCTAATTAATGTTATGTTAATTAAGATAATTTATTAATTTATACGCTATCAATAAAACTTACGACATAGTTTAAGTCATAATTTCATAGTCTAATTGTTGTTGTTCAATTTTCACTCTTTCAATCTCTCACCTCTTGATTCAATGTCACTATTTTCTCTCCGTTTGTTATCAACAATTTATCCCAAGCATTAACCTATGTTGCTTGATTCACAAATCCTTTTTCTTGTTCCTCTAAAGTCCATTTATTAATCGATTCCTCCAGTTGATTGAAATTAGTCCCTGGTTGAATGCCAGTTGCAGAACTAACACTGCAATACAATATAGCAAAAGTTTCATAATTTTTAAATTAATGATAAATAATAACGGTTGGAAATCTTAACAGATTAATTGTAATCAGCATATTAAAAATTAAAAAATTAAAATTTTTTTTAATTTGTATAATTAAACTTATTGTTACTTGAAAATGTTAAGAACTATTATTGCAAAAATTTTATGATCAAGTAAATTTTTACTTACGTAGTTGTGGTTTTCAATGAAGTACGAGTAGAGGGTGCTATTAAACTTGCTGAAGTAGTAACCGAAGTTGTTTTGCTCAAAGAAAATCCTGTAGTAGTACTAGTAGTAGTTGTTCCACCTCCAAAACTACAATCTGGCGTTGTGGTTGTTGCAAGAGAAAATCCCATAGTTGCAGGTGTAGATATTTTTGCAAGATCAAAAGAGAGTCTTGAAACTGTTGCACTGTTTGTCAGAGTTGTAAAACTTGCCAGACTATTTGCTGTAGATATGGATGTTGTTGTCGCTGTTATGCTAGTGCCAAGACTAAATCCAGTTCCAGTAGTCATGATAGTTGGAGTACCAAATATCAAACCAGTAAGTCCTTGCAGATATAAAAGTTATATCACTATATTAAAATGCAGATGGGTAAAGACTAAAAAAGGGCGATTTCGACTAAATTAATTTAACCAACAAAACTGCCAATAACAAAATTTTTAACCAATTATAATTCATTGTTTCTAATAAAAATCCTCTCTCCATTGTGCAATGCTAAGTGAAGCAACATACATACATTAATTATTGATCAAGTTAATTTTGGTCATAATCACGTAAAATCGAGACACAACCAAGTAATTCGATTCAACAAGTGATTCGACGAGGAAAAAATGCAGAGACTCAACTCTACTGAATAATTTCTTCTGAATTAAAAGTGTGAAAAAGGGAAATGTTTCCTATTTTTTAACGTACCCTGTTGTAGATTTTAGGATTCCAGATAGTCCAGTATCTTACTACATCGTATACTCGACGTTATTATTGGTATTCACCCATTGAACTCTAGATGGCGTTGTTTCGCTTTTTTTAATAATAGCGTTTTCGATTATACAGGATTTGAACGACCCAGGGTTGGTTAATGACGTCATTGCAACCTCTCCACCAATGAGGGTACCGTCACATACAGCCCGTAATCCGTAATCCGCACCGGAAGTCCGCAAAAGTTACTAGGTATTTCGTCCGTAACACGGACTAAGGCCGGCGTCACATAGAACCCGTAATCCGTAATCCGCACCGGAAGTCCGCAAAAGTTACTAAGGATTGCGTCCGTAACGTTACGTGTGTTTTATCTCCTTGTGTCCCATGGAGCCGTAATTCCATGAAATTTCCGTAAAAGTTACTACAAGTTACTAGTTATTACTAGTAATGCTTTTTTTAATTTTATTTATTTAACTAAATTTGACGATTTAATTAAAATTTTTGTTAAAATTATAATATATTCTGTAGTTTTCTTATGAATAAAATACAAATAAACAATTATAATCTGTTAAATAAAAAATAGTACTACCGTTACGTCTGTATTTACGGCTCCATGGGACACAAGGAGATAAAAACA